ACTGTAGGACAAGCCAGTGACAAAGTATTTCTAGTTGAGAATCCTTTTAAGCTTCAGCACCCAAAACAGTATAGAATTTCCTCCCACTTTAAGCCATTCTTACCCGAGTATGTCAGACCAATAGTCAGGTTTGTTAACTCAACTTTAAGGATTTTTCATTTCACACTCCTTACCTGCTTATGTTCAGCACACTATAACCATGCAAACTTCATCTTGTATGACCCACATTTTTATGAAAACTCACTTCAGCACAGAGGGACCCAGCCAAGCTCGCTTCCTCCCAGAGTCAGCTAGCACCAGAGAAAGCCTGAACACCAGCTATCCTGCACTCTTTCAGGATCCTGTCTAAATACAGCCTCTAATCCATGTACACTGTACGGCCCGATTTGTGTTAGCAAGAGAGAGTGCTGAGGCTCAACAAAAACCAAGAGTACTATACTAGATTACAAGACAATCCAAGGGCAGGCAAGATAGCTCAGTGGACTGAGCATCTGCTTAGGCAAGCACAGGGATTGGGTTTCTATTTCCAGCACCACATGCCTTGCCCGCCCCACCCCCGGGGCACACTGAACCAGGACTGAGTCCAGGTGTAGTGGTACATGCCTACAATTTCAGTGCTGGGGAGACTGAAAATAGGAGGATCACTATGAGTCCGAGCTGCACAGTGAGACCCTGTACCAAATATAAGAAAATGTAATGTTATGTCTGAGCTGCCTTCAGTGATCAACAAATGGTCATAGAAAGGGCAACCTAAAACCCACAGCTTTCTAGGCAGATTCACCAGTTATCAGACCAATTACAGTACAAGCAACAAGAGCCAAGGGATGTCATGAGTAAGAACAAAGAAGCATCTACCCGTCACTGCCTCTGCTCCTCTTCCTTACTGTTGCTACTCTGAGCTGTAGGGCTACTTTCTGTTTACTCTCTTGGAAAGCTCACACTGGCTTAGGGCACTGTTACCCTTCCACACCAATACCAAACCACTACCTCCAAGTTGCTGGGTAGAAGCCATGCTCACCAGATGCCAACCTCCTGAACTGTTAGAAACCACTCTTCCCAGGAAGCCTTGAGTATTACCTAAAGCCAAAGTCCAATCACAGCCCCTGTCCAGTTAACAAAAGAAGTGTGAAGTGGCACCAACACCAGATCCCAGCAGGACAGGCAAACTAAACGCTGTTGATAAGCTGAGCTCCCCATACTTCTCTTCCTAACACCTCACAAGAAACCCAACTGCAAAACCACCCCAGAAAACAACCAATGCTCACCAACTCCAACAATAACCATGTCAGTCACCATCATCCTTGTTTTCTCTGATGCAAAACATCTTACTAGTTTCTGCCTATTAAACAACACTTCCACTCTTCTCACCACCGGTTACCCTCCAGAGGCCAGACCATGTCTTCTTTTTTTTTTTTTAAACATTTATTTATTTATTGTGTGTGTGTGTGTGTGTGTGTGTGTGTGTGTGTGTGTGGCCAGCTCAGCCCACCAGGGGGCAGGGCTGGCTGGCATGTGGTGCTGGGGGATCGAACTGTGGTCCCTGTGCTTTGCCAAGCTTGTTCCATGTAGGTGCTTTAGACCACTGAGCCATCTCACCAGCCCCCATGTCTTCTTTCTAATCAAATGCCACCACCCCTTATTTCAATGAAGAGAATAAGCCAGTCCCACAACTGCCTGCAAGGCTCTACACAACCCAACTGCACACTTCCTTTCTGATTCAACTTCTTCTTTATGGTAGCTAATTTTTTGAAGGCAGAAAAGGGAATCCACTCTCCAATTTGAGGGTGGGCCACCACACTAGAGAACATACTGGCAAAAAGTCAACATGGTCTGTCCTTTTTGTACCACTCACTCCCTAGCTGACAGGAGGTCTAGGCCATCCTACTGAAGGCATGTGGCAGTTCCTGTGAGAAGTCCACGTGCAGGCAGGCCACTGGGTCTAGGCAGTTTTAAAAGAAACAGCCAATACAGAGAGAGTTCGGGCTAAGGAAAAGTATTCCATTCAGGGTGAGGGTGGGCCACTACACAAGAAAACACAGGGCCCCAACGTCATAACACTCTTTCCTATCACATCACCCTCCTCCAAGTTCCTTTAACACACCAGGCACAAGCCAGCCTTGGCCTGTGCTCCAGCTGTTTTCTCCACCTGCAGGTCTCTTGCCCAGATCCCCATCTAACAATTTTACCTTCTCTCATCTACATTTCAAATCTTTCTCAATAGGCCCTAACCTGACGACGTAAGTCTATTACCCACAGTCCCTACTCACCATCTCACCTCCTTAATCTGCTTTCATGCTCCACTGAGTTTCCACAACACAGAAAACCTCCACACCATACGCCACTCCCTGTCTGCATCTCCTTCCCTGCTAGGATGTCAGCTTTTCTAAGGCAGGGTGGATCAGTGAACATTTCATTGCTAACAAAACAGCCAGGCAATTCATTTAGAAAGTGACATCCTGGCTTACAGGTCTCTAGGTGCCACTTCAAACAGGGCTCATTCTTTGGGCCACCATCAAGGGCAGCAAGCCACGGTGTGAGAACATGAAGCAGCAGCCACTCCATATCCCAGAAGTAAAGCTACCAGGAAAGAAGACCAGGGTTCCAGAGTCCCAGCAAGGGCTCACCTTAGAGACCCAAGGAGACCTAGGCCTCACCCCCTAAACACTCCACCACCTCCTAACAGCAGTAAACAAGGGACTAAGCCTTTAAGACATCAAGTTTTGGGGACACTGAACCAAACAACAGGAGGTAGACTTTCTGGGAGGCTGTTGTTTGATCTGTCTCAACTAAGTATTATCTGGCAAAGAGCAGGCAATTGGTAGTACCTAACACATGAATAAATGTATACTTGGGAACTAACTCCCACAGCAGTCAGGTCATAACAAGCTGACATACAGCAGTGGACACAATGTCCCCACTACTGAAATCTTATTTCTGACCTACAGATGCCTTTCCAGATTAAAGCTTCAAAGCCCCAAACCTAAATCTCTGACACCAAGGCATACTCACATGTGCACTATACTCACCTGTATCTCAAGAATTTACAAATTGACTGGAAATACAACCTCCTATTTATGATTCTTGCCAAAAGCATTTAAAGTAAAATCTAATCATAAGAAAAGGCAAACCCAGAATGTAGGACATGCCATAGAATACAGCTTAGTTTATGCAACATCACTTCAGTATCAAAATCAAGACAGACAAAAACATACACACCAAGTGAGGGGAAACATTCTGGATTAATACAGCAGTAAGACAACCACGCATGATATATGACCACTGACTGGATTAAGGTTAGAGGGCTAGGAAATCAAAACACAGTGTATAAACACAAATTTTTCTCTGAATTAGCAGAAGAATAAGACATCAAATACCCTCTTGATGTCTATAAAAGTTCTTTCCATAAACATCAAAATATTAAAATTCTTTTCATAACAAGCATAATTTAATTCTGAATTTTTCTAAGCAAAAAAAAAAAAAAAAAAAAAACAAAGAGTACGAGATTATCACATCTACTATCAACACTGTGGTCAGGAGGAAAGGGGATACGGCTCTCAGGACCAAGGGACAGCACTGCACAGACGCTCATACCCCTGCCGTCGCTCCAGCCCTGGGCTGTGGAGTCACAATGCAGTCCAGGGGGACAGCTTCAAAGAACAACCAGCTACAACTGACTCTAGAGCTTAAGTCAAAATTTTCTGTTTTCACTTCATTACAAGCCCAACAAGCCGTGAATGCCCTTATGAACTCTAGGAAAGTAAAATCATTTTTTGAAAACCTTGATACTACAAGTCCAAACATGTGCTCTATTCTTCTACATATACCACAAGACAAGCACCGAGTAAAGATTATTATTTATTCACTTTATAAAGAGATGGTATTAAATTGTCATAAACAGCTCCATTGACAGACGAACACCACTGTACACTGCACCAGCAACGAGCTCCACCTGCATTCCCAACGTGCTCGCACGAGCACAGAGTCTCATTCCGCCACTGATGTTTCAAAGTCCCTCAGATAAAATAGTTGTTTTACATATTCACAGGTGGGAAAAAATAAATCCATGCGCCCAACCCTTCCTTAGAATCGAGCTTTCATCTGAGTGTCTGCTTATAAGCACTAAGCAAGTCCTGGCTCATTCTTTAAAAACAAACCAAAACAAAGTAAACGGCTGATAATTTGAAAAGCTCTCGTAGCACACCAAAATACTTATTTATACATACGTAAAAAAATCGAGTCAGATTTATTATTTGAAAGATAAAGAGATACCCTAACACTGCCAGGAATGGGTAATGAAAAGGAAGAAAATACATTAAATTACTGAATTATAAAAATATTTTCTTTGGAAAAAAAATTCTAACAAGGTTATCATTAATATCTAAAACAAAAGAGAAAAATAAACAATTGTTCTTTGATCCATTAGTAATTTAAATAAAAATGAAAACCTCTTTAAAAGCAGCAATGACTAAATTTTTTAAAAACTTGCAAGTAATGAGCACTCTATACACTCAATTCTTTACAGGTAATTTGCAATCAAGAAAAACCCTTAATATGGCTAAGTCTTTAGTTTTTTAATTACCATAATTTCTGTTCATCTTAAAAAAATATTCCACATGACAGCTTAAAAAATAAGTGGTTATTTTTGGGAAGCACTCCAAGTACTCAATCTGACTTGTCAGAGTATCACAGTTAATAGACAAAGTAGGGATACAGATGAAGTTTTTTTTAACCCAAATCATTTTTACTCCAATTTTTAGTTATTCCTTTATGAAAAAGTATCAAATTAAATGTACCAAATTAAAAACTTCTCACTAGTGCTGTGTCACATCTGGATTTAACAAAAGATACCAACCTGAGATAAGGGCTGACTCCATCACATGTGCCCAGTTCCTGAACCCCTACAGACTATGTCTGTGTCTTCCCAGAAGTCAATTCCTGATAACCAATCACACTAGGGTATTATAAAAATATACCATATATTGGACACTCATGTCAGTACATTGCAGAAAATGTGTCTATTTACTGTGTAAAGTTTATTAACATTTGAATGAAACACTCTTATTTACACAGAGTCTGGGGCACTCAGGATAGCAAGGTGGCGGGGGGATCCCGCTGTGAGTTTGGAAATGTGCGGGGCCAGTGGCGTCCTGGCTCAGGGCCAACCCTCGCGGGAGAACGTGGCAGCACTGGGCAAGGTGAGCCGGAGTTCACACAGTCTGACCTGCCTGTCTGTCTGTCTTCATTCTTCTTCACTTTCATTGTCAGGATCTAAATCAGAATCTCCATTTAGCTCTTTTTCGATGGCTCCAGCTCCATCCCCACCGTTTTCTTCCTTTGCTTCAGCTTCATCATCTTCATTCTCTTCATCAACATCTTCATCTTTTGTACTTTCTTTCTCTTCTTCATCTTCATCCCAATTATCCTGATAGAAACAGTAGGAAGGAAAACATTTGTAAAGGGCTCATTCTCAGAGTATGAGGACACAAAGGCAGATTCATGCACTAGGAAACAAACTCACATCAGAATCTTTATCTGCTATTTCATCATCAGACTCCTCTTCTGAAGATTCTGCAGGGGGAAGAAAAACCCAGTGTTAATGTTGTACACAAAGCAGAGAGGCTAGCCCCCAAATAGCACATTCCTGAATTGCCTTTTAAAAAATACCATTTATCCTGAGTTCAATCCCCAGTACTGCAAAATAAATAAATACCATTTATATTATCATCCATCTGATATCATTAAATTACTATTGTCTCCAGAAAAACATATTTAATATATGATGCCTTAAAGATGTCACTGCACCAAACTAAGTACCAAAACCTCATCTTAAAATACTAAGCCATTTCTAGGCTATTAAATGGTACCAGTGGGCATGAGAAAATTGAGATCATTTATATATCCATGTTCACTTTAATATTACTTTCCCTTAATATGTAAAGGTATAAAGAGAAAAGTGATATACAATGTGATGCAGGCACAATCTTTGGTTCCATATAAATCATTGGTTTTTCAATAACTTACTGCCCAGGCTATCTTCTCCAAATGATCTAATACATGAGTCAATGTGAACACACTGGGAGATCCTACAGCCCTGTGGGGTTTTACGGGTAACTATGCCAGTCTACTGTGTATCTATTCTGACACTACAGCTTCCCTAAGTCTTGGTATCTGACAGGACAAATTCCTCCAAACTGTTCATCTGAAATGGCAGATATTCTGAGTTCTTTGTTCTTCAAATAAACTAAACATTAAACTTACAGAATAATTTGGAGATTACTTGCAACTTGACAATATAGTATCTTCTCTTTCGCAATTACAGGCTTATCTTCAAATTTAGTTAGGTATGCTTTTGTATCTTTTAACTGTTCTATAGTTTTCCCTATAAGTTTTTGTTTTAGGCTGGGTGTAATGGCATATTCCCAACACTTGGAAGGTTGAGGCAGGAGAATCGCTGTGAGCTTGAGGCCAGCCTGGGCCACAAAGTGAGCTCAACAATAGCCTAATTACACAGTGAGAATCTGTCTCAGAACAATAAAAAATAAAGTTTTGTTTTATTTTTCTAAGCATATTCTCAGATATTCATAATTTTAACTACCGCTATAAAAGAGATCTCTTTTCTGAACACAGTTTACTATGTTATTATTGGTTTATATAATAATGCAGATTCCTGAAACCGGGTGTGGTGTGGTGGCACACACCTGTAATCCCAGCACTGGGAAGGCTGAAAATAGGATCACTACGAGTCTAAGCTGCGCAGTGAGACCCCGTACTAAATACATAAAAATAAAATAATGCAGATTCCTTTTTGTTGACAGTATGGTAAATTTGCTTATTTGCACAGCATTTATTAATAGCAGTACAATTGTTGTATTTTCTATGTGGAAAAGAGTAAGTATAAAGTTTAGTGTCCTAGAATTCATTTCTTCATGTAGAACTAGGCAGAAAACCTAGAAGCAATAAAAATATATGTCTGGTTCCTGACTTTAGTGGGAATGCTTTTATTTTTAATTTATTTATTTGGTACAGGGTCTTGCTCAGACTCACAGTGATGTTCCTGTCTCAGCCTCCCCAAAACTGGGATTGCAGGCATGTGCCATCACGTCCAATTTCGGTGGCCGGCTCTACTCCCTGGGTTCTGGGGCCCGCACGGCATGTGGTACCAGGGATCAAACCCAGGTCCTTGTTTGCCAGGCAGGTGGTTAGACTGCTGAGCTATCTTCTCTGCCCTGGGAATGCTTTTAAAGTTTCATTATTATGTCTATATTTGACAAACATTTTAAGTGAAAGAAATTCTCATCAATTTTTCTTTTTTTAATGTATTTGGTTGTTACAGGGTCTCACTATGCAGCTCAGACTTGTGGTGATCCTCCTGCTTTCAGCCTCCCCAGCACTTGCAATTACAGGCATGCAACATCACACCAGGACTGTGGCAGGCTCAGCCCACCCTGAGGGCAGGGCTGACATGGCACCATGCCTGGGATCAAATCTGGGTCCCTGTGCTTGCCTAAGTATGCGCTTTACTCTACTGAGCCCTCATCAATTTCTTAGTTGAGATAGGTACAGGTTAAGTACTTCTGTATTTTTGCCTATACCTATTAAAAATGTATATAGTGCTCCCTAATGAATGCACCAATGCATGACTATAACTAACAGACTTCTTAATGCTAAATCACCTTGTAAGTTTTAAATAAACTCTACTTGGCAATGGTGTATCATTTTCCTTCAACACTTCTACAATCAATTTCCTTTCTACTTAAATCTTTTAAATTGATCTAAAATGTTCTTGACTTTGTTTTTACAAGGTTATACTTGACTCATAAAATGCCTAAATGGTTTGTAAATGACAAAAAATAATTTGCTCTTTGAAGGATTAACAAAGATCAGCCACAAAGCTCTCTGGCCTTACAATCTTGTGAGATATTTTGATTGTGTCAGTTTTGCAACTACAAACTTTTAAGTCAGTTCTGACCACTAAAGTTTCCTCGTGCATTACCAACATGACCTGGGGTTGGCATATAGTTTGTTCAGGGTTCTACCTATTTTCTATACCTGATGCCTTTTGTTACTGAGACATACTTGTGTGTTCTCTTTCCTGACCTCACAGATTTTTGCCACAGACTTACACCTGTTGTATTAAGGGAGGTATGAGGTATGACGAAGCAAGATCTTATATCAGTGTTTTTGCAAAGTAAGATAACACAACTGAATCACTGTCAAAACAAATCAATCCAGTTCCATGCTTTACCCTATCCCCACTCTTACCTTCTTCATAGACCAGTTTGGCCTTCTGGCCAGGGGATGTCATTCCCTTTGCCTTCTCTGATGCTGTAACCTGAAAGACAGAGTAGAATTATGAAGCAGAGTGTAAGCCTACCCCCAGTATCACATGTACCACCATACCATCTTCCATTTGCTTTGCTGTCTAGAATGGATGGCCTGAATAAAGTGTAGAACATATGCAGGGCAAGGAGCTGCTCAAATACAAGGGAAGAATTACTCTCCATAAGGGCTGAAGGTCCTCTAAAGTACTGACAGTATCTTCCCATACCAAAATTTTTAACTGTAGATATATATGCCCTGTAACTTGTTCACAGTAACATGTCCAACCTAACTGTAGTAGGAAGTTGAAATACCTAAGCTGACTATCAAACAGATAACACTTCCAGGTCAATGACTGGATTCTGGTTTACTAATCTTATGGAACTAGCGAGGTCTCCATATTCAGGGAAACAATCCTTAGTCTCTCCTCCATTCCTATCACATGTAACACTTTTCAACAGAAACAATTTGATCTACTCACTTGTGTGATTAGAAGGATAAGCTTCCCATGAAGGTGTGAGAGTTTCTGGAAAGTTCTGACTCTGCTTTCCATTAACTGGTAGAGTGTTCCTAGCTGGTGTACCAAGTCAGGCAACTAGAAGAAAAAATAAATATACAAGCTTAGGAGGGAAAAACTGCCAGGCAGTGCAAACTACAAGTTGGAACTTCCTTATATATTTTATTTCAAATAAGGTGAATACAAGTAGATACTAAATTTTAATAATACTTAACCACACATCTCTGAGCTAAAGAGGGCTTTCCTCTGGATCCTAGCCTTCCAGGACAGTACACTATCCACCCTGCAGTATAAGGCCCCAGTGAACTAGAATGAACTTTTGGAGACCAACTGGACGGAGGAATTGAAAACCAAGTTGACTTCACATAACATTTTAAACATCCTCCCTGTTAATGAATCATAATTAAGAAATTAAAGTAGCGAATCTTTTATTTGTCCTTATAGAGCTTTAAAAAAAGGGACTAAAACTTTCTCCTTCCATTTTGACATGAACATAAAATGTTTTATTACAATGTTAATAAATTTTAAGTATCCTATAGGCTCAAAAGGTAACACAGCCGGGGAGATGGCTCAGTGGAAAAAGCGCTTCCCTGGCAAGCACAAGGGCCTGAGTTCAATCCCCGGTTCCGCAAAAATAAATAAATAAATAAATAAATAGGTAACACAAGGCTTATTGTGTTTGCATTTTAATCATCATCTCTCAATTATATGTTCCCATTCATGCTATGACCTTCAACATGAGAATGTGTATTTTTTTTGTTTTTAATGTATTTAGTACAGGGTCTACAGGGTCTCACTACACAGATGGGACTCAGGAGTGCACCACCACACCCAGTCTCAATTGCCGTCTCAGGGGCAGGGCCAGCAGGTAGGCAGGGGATCAAACCCTGGTTCCCGCATCTAAGCAGGCGCTTTAGTCTGTTGAGCTATCTGGTCAGCTCAAAGGAATGTGTCTTCTTGTACAGTGTTGAACCCCAATGTCTAACACAGACCTAGACTTAGAAACAGTACCTAAAGATAGATGCCAAGAAAGGAAGAAATGCAGTAAAAGCATTACTTTCTCAAAAATTGATGTGGGTTCTGGGGCCTTCCTATGCCATATTTCTTCAGTCTGCTCTACTATGACCTTGACTGTTACAGAACTGCTACTCCAATAGTAATTCAAAACAGATTCCACAAGAGATTTCCCTACAAGACTTCCTGAACCTCTTCTTGCTTCTAATCTAAGGCAGTAACTGAGGTTACTTTCACCCAGTTCCCTAGCAGGCATTTGTTCCAACTATTTTAGGTGGATCACCATGCTACCCAGCCATTCTACTCACCAAAGCCCCCATTCACCTCCCAAGATTCTCACAGTTTAGGGTACACATGCTACTCTTACTGCTCCTTGTTCCCCCCCCCCCGCGCGCCCCCCACTGGCTAACATTTTGGCAAAGCTCTTCCCAGGCATCCAAAGAATGAACTGCTGCCCTCAAAGCAGGTTATCCAACACTTCCTATATCTAACCATGGAAGCAAAAGGAGTCTGAGAGAATAAAGGACCAAGTAGGTGCGGGTGAAACCAAGGAAGAGCTACAATTTAATGGCAACTGGAGATTTTTTCCAATTGTCCACCAAAGCCTTTCAAGAAAATGTCATGTAAAGTGCTAGGTATACAAATAAAAGAACATATGATTTTATTTCTGCTTAAAATATAACTGATATAAGAGCAAAGAAGCCAACACAATATTATAACATGTAAAACTTCTTCCTGACAGCACTTTAAGATTTCATGTTCCCTGCTTTATATTTACAAAGATAATATAATTCACTTAACAGTAAAAGAGGTGACAGCAACCCTGGCAAAATGTCAAATACTAAATATGTGATTTACAGCACCTGTTTCTCAAACTACCTTTTACTCTCCTGGGACAAGGTAGGAAAACATGTTAGCATAAAAACCTGTAAAACCTAGTAAGTTTTTTAAAAGGGAAGGTAAGGATTTACATAACATAAAAACAATTCAAATAACAGAACTTCACAAAAAAAGGGATACAGATGAATGTCCATTTTGTATCTGTGTATTCAAAGTGGTTAGGATAGATATATAGTTACATTCTCCTAATGAATAGAGGGATTTGTTCTAATGGTGTTTGTAAATAAGATATCATGTCCACATCTTGTACAGCAAATAACCACTAGGAGGAATGTATGCAGTGTGTTAATTACTGAAACTGTCCTACCAATTTGGTTTGAAACTGTCTCATTGCTATTTGTTTCTCAATAAAATTATGGAAAAAAAAATACAAAAAAAACATAAAAACAAACTGCAGCCAGGTGTGGTGACACTCCAGAAGGCTGAGGTAGGCAGACAGCAAGTTCAAGCCCAGCCTTAATCACTTAACCAACTTAATGAGGTTATCTCAAAATAATTGCTTTAAGGGGAGGAGGGGGAGCTGCTCAGTGCAAAGCCCTGAGTTTAATCCAAGATCCAAGTACTATCACTAAATAAAAACCAGCTTTACTAAAGTTATATACATAGGAAAAACACCTGAAAGTCATGTCAATATATGGCATTTCTTCTGCCTGTATTTCTCAGTGCTCTTTATAGAATATGTATTATTTCTCAAATCTTAAAGAAAAAAAAATATTAAAAAGCCATGAGAGAAGACAACAATATGCAATGTATTAATTATTGTAACTGTCCTACTAACCTGTTTTGAAACTGTCTCACTGCTATTTCTGTCTCAATAAAATTAAAAAATAAATAAACAAATAAAAGGCCATGAGACATTAGGAAAAGGTTTGTGTCTATGTACCCAGGGAGTAACAAAATCACCAAAGCAAGAATGTAGGGGTTGAAGGACAGATGAAGAAAAAGGCAGCTTCATTCAGCTATAAAACAAAGTTTATAATATTTATCAAAACCAAACTACTCATACTGAGAAAACTTACTGTGGACAGGTATGATGCATGAACGGTTAATACACATTTCAGCCACTGAACCATTAAAACAGCACTGGAAAAGAAAAATCCAAGTAAACTAATGTTTATGAATTAGAAATTAAAAGAACAAAATTGTAAAATTTGAAAAATTCTGGTGGGCAAGTGAGGATCTAAAACTTGAGCTCTGTAAAGCTGACCATAACAAATCAATGAGGGTCAACGAGATAGCTCAGCAGACTAAGCACCTGCTTAGGCAAGTGCAGGGACTGACCAGGGTTCAATCCTGTGGTGCCACACTGGCACTACCCAGGTGGGGGCGCACTAAGCTGCCACCAAGACAACTGTAATCCCAGCACCGGGGAGACTAAAAACAGGAGAATCACGATGAGTCTAAGTTATGTAGGGAGACCCTGTACCAAATACGTTAAAAAATAAAAATAAAAAACAAAAATCACTGACTATATTTCAGTCCTTTTGGTTTTTTGCTGAGTCTGGGATGCCTGTAAAATACTAATTTCTTGGGGAGGAGGGAGAAACTGAAAAATAGAAGGGAAAAAATCTCCCTCTAGAACATTTCAAGAGTACTTAAGTGATACCACAGTACTAAACTTTATCCAAGCTAAGTTCAGTTGATTTTACATTTTATTTTCACGACTGTTGATCCGGCCATCTATTCAATGTCTGGAACAAACTACAGTCTTCTAGACAAATACTAAAAGGCAAATACACACCACACTGAACAAGCCAGTCCTATTTACTGAATTCTTGAGCTTTCCTCTTTTGTGAGCTCAGAAGGCTAATGGAGTTCTACTGGGAGCAGGGGTAGGGAAGAACCTATACATCATATATACCAATACCATATTACAAGCTTGGGATCTGATACTGACTTGCTGTTAAAACGTAATGAAAACATCAACTTGTGGGTAACAAAAACACCCACAACAATTTAGCCTTTTTCCTTAAATTTTTTTTTTAAATTTTGGCAATGCTAGAGATTGAACTTAGTCCTGTATCTGCTAAGCAAGCATTCTACCCCTGAACTACAGCACCACCCTTAAACTACTGAATTACAGAATCTTAAGCAGCTACTGAAGGCTGAGTGAATTATATAAATTCATTTTTCTGTATCATGATTAATAACTTTTAAATATGACTAAATGACAACACAATATACAATATATAAGTATTTTCTAAAAAGAAAACTACATTAAAAAATCTTGATGAAGAATTAATTTAAAATAGGGGAAATATGATTCAGGAATTCTATTTGATATGGAGCTACCTGCTATTTTAATTTTACACTATCAGAAGTTATTTTAACAATCATTAACTTACATATAAAAACAAGGAAATTTAGTGATCTAAATATCTCACCTATTAGGGTGGCCTTGTAACCTCTTTGTAAGCTGAGAGAGAGAAAAAATATGATTAGAAAAAGTACTTCAGAAGCAATCAATCTCCATCAATTCCTAAGATGCAAAGGTTGTTATAGAATATTATTCCATTCAATACTCTACTTTCAATCAACATGCTGTATTATTTGAATTCATTCCAAAAAGAGTAATTACCTGATAGAAAGCTAGGCATTATATGAATAAATGTCCAGGATAAGCAAATCCATGGAAGACAAAAAATAAATTAATGATCACCAGTAACTGGGAGGAAGGAGACATGAGCATCACTACTAATGTGTACGAAGATTTCTGAGGAATGACAACTCTGTGACATAGGAACACACTAAAAAACTGACAACCGAAAGTATAAATAAAGAGCAAAGTAAAAGACAGATAATAGGCAACAGTGAAATAGATTTTTTGTAAATAAGTGGGGCTTTTGAAAAACGAAAGGGAAAAAGAATTAAGATGGGTTATGTAACACCTCATGATGAAAGCAAGCATCATGAACTGTAAACATGTATGACAAAAGAATTTAAACCCCAAGTGAATACAGCTCTTTGATCTTTGACAAAGGGGACAAAATCATACACTAGAGGAAAGATAGCCTCTTTAATAAATGGTGTTTGGGAAACTGACTATCGTGGAAAGGATTCAATCTAGTAGTTTCATATCTCTGACCACATGTGCGAAACTAAAATCAAAATGGATCAAAAACCTAAATGTTAAAATAGAAACATTTAACCTGTTAGAAGATAAAATTAGAGGGCCGGGGAGATGGCTCAGTGGAATAAGCACTTGCCTGGCAAGCGCAAGGGCCAGAATTCAATCCCCGGTTCCACAAAAAAAAAAAAAAATATACATGAGATGATTAAAAACGCTAAAAAAAGAATAAGATAAAATTAGATAAAACCCTTGACGTCAGTTGTAGGCAAAGACTTTCTGAACAGAACCTTTGTAGCACAGGAAACAGTACCAAGAATCAACAAATAAGATCATATCAAATGAAAAAGCTTCTGCATAGCAAAGAAACACCCAACAAAGTAAAAAGACAACGTACAGAATGGGATAAAATGTTTGTGTGCTATTTCTTAGAGAACTACTATCTAGAGTATCTGAAGAATTAAGGGGGAAAAAAACACCCCCCCAAAAAAGACCCACTCAAAAAATATGGAATGCATAAACGCTTTACAGAAATACCAATCGCCAATAAACACATGAAGAAATACTCAACATCACTAGACAATAGAGAAATGCAAATTAAAACAACACTGGGATTCTACCTTGCACCAAGAACAGCCATCATCAAGAAATCAAGTAACAAATGTTCCAAGGCTGTGAGAGAAGGGAATCCTGCATTGTTGGTGGAAATGTAAACTAGCACAACCAGTATGGACAT